AGTCTATTTATTTTCTAGAGGGTATACAAGATACTTATATGGTTTAATAACCCATTTCGTGGACTAATCATCCTCTTGAAGAAATTTTATTGTGTTTCTCAATACATCAACAAGTTGGTTGTATGTATCAATCTGCAACCTGAAGTTTGCAAGATTACTTAGTAGTGCTAGTGAAATCATGTTTACTTAAGCCTATGGTAAGAAAAACATGTTTGTAAGCAAATGTTCATCATTAGACATAATGCAGAAGCATTAATTCGCATAAAGCCAACGAGTAACTAAAAGTTCTCCCCATCAAAATTGGTTTTGGGTCAGAAACATAATATATTCCATCTTATGTATTTGGATGTACAGTATACATCAATATTGTTCCACCACAACAATATAAGATGGAGCCTCGAAAGAGATGGTAAATATATGTTGGATGTGAATCTCATTTGACTATCATTTTAATGAGTCAGTCTTTCCAACATCAGGGGGAGAAAATAAACAGTTGGAGAAAGATTAAAGTTGGAATGAATTATCATTGATCCTCGGACTATAGAATATAAAATTAAAGTCCCATAGACAATTCATTCACAAAACATATTGTATCAGTTGTTAAACAACCAACATTTTTTTTTTCATTAAATACTAAACAATTTTAGCAAAGGTCTTTAAAATAAATTAAATAAATAAAATATCAATAACAAATAAATCAGCTCAGCGGAAGCAAATAATAATTAAAAAAGTCTAGCAAAATAATGCAAAACAATAAAACAGTAAACATCCTATCATCCCCCTCTTCAGCCTTGATTCCGCGATCACACAAATTTTTACCTGCAACACATTGGAATGGAGTTGCGTAAGTATTTAATAAATACTTAGTGAGGCAATCACTCTGCCTACGAGCCATTTACGCAATTTACTAGATATTTAATAATATTTATAAACTCCAATAATTATTAAATACCATTTTCCAATTATTAAATAATTATTAATAATTAAAACTCTATTTCTCAATTATTAAATAATTCTTATAATTAACCATTAATTAATTAAATCCAAAATAAATCAAATAATTTGAATTAAAACATTTTAATTTAATTACACCAAATAACCAGAATCAAATCAATTTAAACCAAGATAAACCAATTAAATCAATTAATTCAATTAAACCAGATTAAACCACAGAAACACACAATTCATCACAGAAACAACCACAATACTATGAAATAACAATTAAACACATAAACTCATCAAGAACAATCACAAACCAAATCTAATCTAGCAAATCGCGGACCCACAGTCATGCACTCACCTTGACAATGATTGAAACTGAAGGAAAAAGGAAAGACGATGAACAGTGCCGAATCGCGGATGAACAGTACCGATGAACAGTAACCCGTGAACAGTACCGATGAACAGTAAAATCGGATTTTTCCATGAACTCTCAAAATCGCCTTTCTCCTTCTCTGCCTCGAAAAACGTGATGAACAGACGGCTGCTTCTCCTTTAAAACGAAAATAAGGGTTTCCAACCCTTAACCGGGCTAAACCGGGCCCAATTTCACTGAAATTGAACCAAAATCAATTATCAATTATTTGGTTTATGGATGTTACAAGTTGTCAGATACATTTACTGACCCAAATATAGTGATTGAGTCACTTACCAGCTGTAAATGCTCTAATAAGAATTGATGTCCCAGAAGGACAATATCAAGCTGCTAGTGAGTCTAAAGAACGCATGAAGCGTGATAGACTTGTCGGTTCCAAATATTAGAATTCTCGGAAAAAGTAAAAAGAGCATAAGATAATGGTCAAACCGAGGAAACTAAAATTATCTCCAGAAGAGACATCAAACATGACAAATAAGAAATTCAGGTACCTGAGACAATGATGAGATCTCGAGAAATTACTTATGTCATGTATAGAATAAATGGAACCAGAAGCAAATCGACGTCGTAAATAATATATTTGCATGCAATGTAGCAGTTGATATTATGAATGAGAAAGAGGATCATGAAACAAAGTCTATTGCATTGTGTACACAAAGTAATGATTTGGCCAAATCGAAAAGAAGCAATAGACACAAAAAAATCTCTTAGAAAGAGAAAGTGTATTTGGACCAGAAGTCCTTTCACCTAAAAAGTGTGAAACAAGTGAGTTATAAATTTGGCATTTGTGCCGAAGAAGAATGAGTATGAAGAGATATACTCTCATGTGGTGGATGCAACTTTCAAGTTCATTAAGTCTGGCAATGAAAGAAGAACTTGACTTATACAACTCACTAAACAATGACATTTATGTAAAAGTCCCTGAAGGATATAATCATTAAGAATTAATGATATCATTGTTTTTTCCCGGAAAATATTAGCTATTTAATCAAATGAAAAGAAATTTGATTCATGGATATAATCACGAAAGTGAATATATAAAGCTAACAAATACCCATGTATATTTATAGATCAAAAGAGATCTTAGTCTAAACATCATCGAAATTCCAGAAGAATTGTCGAAATTAGTATCACAAAAGGAGATGGGATAAAAGATCTTGGAAAGACAAAGTTGTCTTAAGATATCCCAAATTCCCAGAAATGTTATGGCATGATTTACATAAACAATGCTCACATATATTTGGTCCTGAAGTACCATACTTCAAATGCTATTTGAAAAATATGTTAGTCTCTTCCATAATTCAAAATGAGCATGAGATTATATATACAAGATAGATGTTTACAAGAATGTATATAAAAGAGAAAATTTGGCCAGAAGTCCAAATGATTGTTTATAGAAAAAGATGTCCTAGACTACATGTAACATCCCGGTTTGTCATAAATGATGAGAGGCTTAAGAGAATTGATTTGGCTACCTATGTCAACAAAGTGCATTTACCTTTTCGGGCAAAGGTCTATAAGTAACTCCAGAGTTAAGCGTGTTTGGGCTGGAGTAGTTGAAGGATGGGTGACCTTCCGGGAAGTGATTTCCGAAACCGTGTGAGTGAGGCCAAAACACGGGGAAAGGTCAGGTGTAGATTGCAGGGTTAGTAAACACTTTTTTGCAGAGTCATTAGAGCCTCTCAAAAATAATGGACCGGCCGTCGGACAGGGGTGAGGCCCATGGGCCGAGATAGGCCTGCGGGTCCAGAGAGAGGGCGTGGGTGACTTACCGGGAGAGGCGGTCCGGGCCTTATAATTTGATATCAGAGACAAACCCAGACGAGAGTGTGGAGTCAAGTTGAAGTGGCCTTGACTCACACCGTCAGGGGGTGACGATCCAAGTGCGCAACGAGGGCGTGATATACCTCTATTTTACATGCTTTTTATACTGTTTTAGTATTGTTTTCTAATGGTTTTTGGCAGGTTTTCTATCTAAAAAGGTAGTTTTACTGTGTTTATAGTGTCTAGAGTCTAAACAGGTGAAATGATGCATTTTGGAGCAAAACCATAGGATTTGCACTTCAAGCCGCTCCATGCACAAGCACCAACTTTAAGAGGGCCCAGAAAAAGATCTACTCAATGGATTTCATCAAGACCAGTTCCCTGCGTGCTCTGATTGAGTTAACTTTCCAACGCAACTGGAATGGCCTCATTTGGATGAGTAGAAAAGGAGTTACAACCAAAAGAGTGAAGACTGTCCAGACGGCTCTATCGAGAACAGCGCCCAACCGCGCAGTCCGGCTGGCCGAGGAACGAACGTTTCACGCTCGGCCAAATCTCATCCGTCCGTCTGAAGTCTCGGCCAAAGTCCAAACCACGGCCGATCACGCATCACGACCCGGGAAACTAAGCCCGCGGTCGGCCACGCCACAACCGCTCACGCCAAGCCGCGCACGACCATGCCGCGAGCCGGGAAACAAAGCCTCGCGGCCGCGCAACCTGTCTCGCGTACCACGGCCGATGGCGCCGTCCGAGCCGGGAAACTACGTCCCGCGTCCGGCCAAACGCCGCGGTCGACCCGAAGCCCGTTTTGAAGCCCGTTTCATATTTTCAAGGCCCGGCTTAACCCTAAGCCGCCTCTAAAGACCTAGCACTATATATATAGCTTTTTAGCCTCTTGTGAAAAGAGAGCCGCCTTGTATCACGATTTCATACTTTGAGTTTTATTGCAATCATGTTTTCTTCATCTCTTTGTGTTTTTGCTTTGATTATGTCTGAGTAATTCACTAGTTAGGTTGTGAGATCTATCAAAGAGTTCATGGTTTGATAGGTTGTTAGAAGTCGCATAGGGTTTACTATATCGCATCTTCGCCTCTGCTTGAATTCATTGCTGCTTGCTTTTCTGATCAACTAGCATCAGATCTTAGGTTTCATATACTCTCCAAAAGCTTGCTATATAACCTGAACTAAGTATTTGGTGAGCAAAACTTCATAGACTGCGAAAGTTGATCTATGCGGGGTTGTGAACAATTGGGTCTTGAACGAACTATTGCTTGATTTAATCACCTAGGGACATACCAAAAGTTTAGCGACTAGGTAGATTAACAAAGGGGTCGGAGCCTCGACAGTGGAAAGATCATACAATCGTGACCTGAGTTCTAGATAGCGCAAACCCTAGCGAACCTTCTAATATCTTGTTAACCTTGAATCTCTGCGAGTTTCTCATTGCCTAGCGTTTCCCTTATTGATTTTCATAAACCGTTTAATCTGCTGTTTGATTTACTTTGTTACACAATCAAAACCCTAAATCATACTTGTTTTCTAGCTATATTAGACTTGCAATACTCGAAGTGTACTTATCTGCTCCTTGTGTTCGATACCCGTTTACTACTTCTGACCTGTGCACTTGCAGAATCAGGGATAGGAAAAGGGAAGACCTGATCCCGCGATCAAGTTTTTGGCGCCGTTGCCGGGGAGCAATACAGCTACCTTCGAGTTCCCAACTATAGTCTAGTCTAGAATTTCGTTTTTCCTTTTTGTTTTTGCAAATTTTCAACTTTTGTTTTTCCTTTTTACTGTTTTCTATTTAAAGAATCTTGCCTCTACCCCTTTCAGGTACTAAGCTTGAAAGAAGGACTCTAACATGAGTGATTCAGACGATCAAGAGGAGAGAGATAACTTGGCCGCGAGAGAGATCGCGCTGGCCGAGCAACACGAAGATCCGCCGGATCCGAATGCCGCGCACGATCGCGCCAATGATGATGATAGAGCGCGACACAATGAAGAAGTCATGGGAGACTTCGATTCCAATCCAACACTACTAATCAATCGGAATCCCATCCAGCCGCCACTTCCTGAAGGAAGAAGCTATGAGATTTCACCGGAGATCATTGGTTTGGTGAAACAAAACCAGTTCCAAGGAAAACCCCAGGAGAATCCTTTGGAACATATTGATGCTTTTGAAGAAATCTGTGGCACCATCAGTGCAGGAGGTGCGCCCAAGGAGTACTTAAAGTGCAAACTATTCTCTTTCACTTTGACAGGGAAGGCTTTGCGCTGGGTTAAGTCTCTTCCAGCTCAATCCATAACCACATGGAAAGAGTACAAGGTGGCATTCCTAGGTCACTTTTTCACAAAGCAGAGAGCAAACTTGTTGAGAGAAAAGATCTCTAGTTTCCAACAAGGGCCGGTGGAGCCTTTTCATGAAGCATTGGAGCGCTTTCAAGGACTATACAAGAGAGTGTCCTAATCATGGACTATCTGATGGCAGTCTATGGAACATTTTCTACAGAGGAATAAGTGGGAAGTGTCGATTTTCTCTTGATACAGCCAGCAATGGAAATTTCATGACCAAGACAGTTACTGAAGCAAAGATTTTGATTGAAAATCTAGCCTCAAGCGACAGTGACAACTTCATTGGGCATGAGAGAGCAGTGAAGGCCATAAATTCTGATCCATACAGAGATGGATACAGTGAGATCAAAGCCATGATGGCTGAGATACTGAGAAACCAAGGAAGAGAAGTGGAGAGACAAAGAGAAGCTTATAGAGTTGAATCCACAATAATTCAAGATTACTTTGGAGATTTGATTCCAAGTTTCAAGAAGAAGTAAACTTTGTTGGAATAGATGGATTGGCACGTGGAGAAGAAGCTTGGAAAGGGAGCATGATGTTTTTACTCAAGAATCACCCAATGAGAAGAGGGATGTTCATGGAGGAAGAAATTATCAGCAACCACCTCACAAGAGAAGAATGGAGCCAAGGAGCAACTTTGAAGATTTGATAACTTTCATCAAGAGTTCTCATAGAGAGCATACAGCCTTGATTGATGAGAGATTGGAGTCAGCCTTCACGAGATTGAATGAGAAGTTGGATTCAATTTCTTCTTTCACAAGAGACTTGGATCTTAGAGTTGCCAACATAGCCAGCTCTATTAAGAGAGAAGAAGGCATGCTACCAGGAAAAGTGGAAATCAATCCAAGGAGAGCAGCTGTAGCAGCTATCACTCTTAGGAATGGAAAAGGGTATGAGCCGCCAGCATACCCAGATCAAGAGGAAGCAAAGCCGCCAATCAAGAAGAAACCAATGGAGTATGTCATTATTGGAGATGGTACTGAACCACCTAAGGAAGTCCATGTCAGAATAGAACCAGGAACTCAGGAGGAAGTGGAGAAGCCACCTGAAGAACCAAGAGTGTATGAGCCAAAGATCCCATACAGAAATGTTCTTTCTCAACCCAAGAAGGAGAAGGAGCAAGCAAAGCTCAAGGATCTTGTTAGCCAACTTTCAGTAAGGTTACCTTTCATTGATGCCTGCCAGATAATTCCATCTCTCAGGAAATATATGAAGGCCATACTCACAAGCAATGTGAGTCTTGAAGAAGGAGCAATGATGATTACAAAGGAGTGTAGTGCCATACTTCAGAATCGCATGCCAGAGAAGCTGAACGACCCAGGAGTTTTGTTTTGTCTTGCAAGATCGGTTCTACACACTTCCATAGAGCACTTTGTGATTTGGGTTCTAGTGTGAACCTAATGCCTTACTCAGTGGCCAAGCTATTGGGCATCACTGACTTCAAACCTACAAAGATATCTCTAGTCTTTGCAGACAGATCTGTTCGCCGCCCTGTTGGTGTTATTATGGATGTTCCAATCATGGTTGGAGATTGCTACATTCCCTGCTGATTTTGTAGTTCTTGAGCTGGAACACCAACCTAAAGACCCTCTTATCTTGGGAAGGCCATTCCTAGCTACTGCAGGAGCTATAATAGATGTCAAGAATGGAAAGATTGACTTGCATCTTGGAGATATAGTGATGAATTTCGAGGTAAACAAGTCCATGGAGAAACCAACTGTAGATGGTCAAGCTTTTTGGATTGGAGAGCTCGCAGAGACAAGAGAAGAAGTGCTGGATGAACTCCTTCTTATTGATCCCTTGGAGCTAGCTTTGACAAAGGCTGAGAATGAGTATGGATACATGGAAAGAGAAGCTCAATGCTTAGTCAAGTTCATGGATTCCAAGGAAGCTTATAAGGAGCTAATAGCTTATATGGACTAGAGAGAGAAGAGGAAGAGCCAGACATTGACAAGGATCAGGAAATATCACAAACCAAAGTTAAGTTCGACCCATGGTGCCCACTTAGAGCTCCAAAAGCCGAGCTCAAACAACTCCCAGTTGGTCTAAGGTATGAATATCTTGGTCCTAATGAAACATATCCTGTTATTGTTAATGCTGCACTAACAAAAGAAGAGACCGCTTTACTTGTTCGCGAACTGAGAAAGCATAGAAAGGCTCTTGGTTACTCTTTGGATGATTTAACAGGAATCTCACCTGAACTATGCACACATCGCATCATCCTGGAGGATGAGTCTAGTTCTTCATTGAACATCAAAGGAGGCTAAACCCAAACCTAAAGGAAGTTGTCAAGAAGGAGATAATGAAGCTATTGAAAGCTGGAGTGATATATCCAATATCAGATAGTGCATGGGTCAGCCCTGTACATGTCGTGCCAAAGAAAGGAGGAATCACAGTCATCAAGAATGAACATGATGAGCTCATTCCAACAAGGACAATCACAGGACACAGAATGTGTGTCGACTACAGGAAGCTGAACTCCTCTACGCGCAAGGACCATTACCCCTGCCATTCATAGACCAGATGCTTGAGCGCCTTGCCAATCATCAATACTACTGTTTCTTGGATGGATACTCAGGATTTTTCCAAATTCCAATCCACCCAGATGATCAGGAGAAGACTACCTTCACTTGTCCCTATGGCACATATGCTTATAGGAGAATGCCTTTTGGATGTTACTCAAGCTCGCAACATTATATGATGTCACAGCATATTCATGGCAGTATCACATGCAGCTCTTTGTGAGTTGTTGGCCATCCTTCTTGGATAGGTATGCTCTCCAGCTCTACTGAGCTCACATGTTCACCAAACATGCCTCATGGTGCCTGATTCTATACTGATATAGATCCTAATAGCCAGAGATATGGAGGTTTTCAACATGAGTTGCATGTACGAATCAGATCATATGTCGTCACATTCCCTTATGATAATCATCGATTGTCGATCCCTTGGAAGAGCAGATGTCTACCTTTCGCACGTATGTGTATAGCACCGGCCAACACCTAGATTCTAAACTTGCTATGTGGTGAGAACATGCCACTTTTACTGGACTACCACATGCGAAAGCAGTGATGTCCTTTGACATAGGAATATCACGTAGGAGACGGATATTCGATAGAGATCAGCTACTAGTAAAGCGCCTACCATGATGTCCTGAAGTCTCATGTACTTATTATGTTCACCCCGCCCCAAGAACTATGTCTAAGATACTCAGTATAGTTCCCTAGTAGAGATCACATGTAGCTTCTTGTCTTTTCTTTGTCCAAGCACTGCTCCTACTGCATAATCACTTGCATCACACATTATCTCAAAAGGTAGTTCCCAGTTTGGAGGTTGAACCACTGGCGCACTGACCAATGCCTCTTTGATCTTAGTGAAAGCCTTGTGACACTCCTCTGTGAACTCAAAGTTAATATCCTTGCATAATAGGCGTGTTAGCGGCCTTGCTATCTGTGAGAAATCTTTAATGAACCTCCTGTAGAATCCAGCATGTCCTAGGAAGCTTCTGATATCTTTAACTGTCTTGGGCGGCTGAAGGTTTGTCATTACTTCAATCTTGGCTTTATCAACTTCTATGCCTCTCTCTGAGATTCTATGTCCAAGCACTATTCCATCTCTAACCATAAAATGGCACTTCTCCCAATTTAGAACTAGGTGCTTGTCTTCACATCTCTGTAGCACTCTTCCAAGATTTCCCAAACATGATTCAAAGGAAGAACCATATACTGAGAAATCATCCATGAAAACCTCCATAATCTCTTCTATGAGATCTGTGAATATGGACATCATACACCTTTGGAATGTAGCTGGAGCATTGCACAATCCAAAAGGCATTCTCCTATAAGCATATGTGCCATAGGGACAAGTGAAGGTAGTCTTCTCCTGATCATCTGGGTGGATTGGAATTTGGAAAAATCCTGAGTATCCATCCAAGAAACAGTAGTATTGATGATTGGCAAGGCGCTCAAGCATCTGGTCTATGAATGGCAAGGGGTAGTGGTCCTTGCGCGTGGAGGAGTTCAGCTTCCTGTAGTCGACACACATTCTGTGTCCAGTGATTGTCCTTGTTGGAATGAGCTCATCATGTTCATTCTTGATGACTGTGATCCCTCCTTTCTTTGGCACGACATGTACAGGGCTGACCCATGCACTATCTGATATTGGATAAATCACTCCAGCTTTCAATAGCTTCATTATCTCCTTCTTGACAACTTCCTTTAGGTTTGGGTTTAGCCTCCTTTGGTGTTCAATTGAAGAACTAGACTCATCCTCCAGGATGATGCGATGTGTGCATAGTTCAGGTGAGATTCCTGTTAAATCATCCAAAGAGTAACCAAGAGCCTTTCTATGCTTTCTCAGTTCGCGAACAAGTAAAGCGGTCTCTTCTTTTGTTAGTGCAGCATTAACAATAACAGGATATGTTTCATTAGGACCAAGATATTCATACCTTAGACCAACTGGGAGTTGTTTGAGCTCGGCTTTTGGAGCTCTAAGTGGGCACCATGGGTCGAACTTAACTTTGGTTTGTGATTTCCTGATCTTGTCAATGTCTGGCTCTTCCTCTTCTCTCTCTAAGTCCATATAAGCTATCAGCTCCTTATAAGCTTCCTTTGAATCCATGAACTTGACTAAGCATTGAGCTTCTCTTTCCATGTATCCATACTCATTCTCAGCCTTTGTCAAAGCTAGCTCCAAGGGATCAATAAGAAGGAGTTCATCCAGCACTTCTTCTCTTGTCTCTGCGAGCTCTCCAATCCAAAAAGCTTGACCATCTACAGTTGGTTTCTCCATAGACTTGTTTACTTCGAAATTCATCACTATATCTCCAAGATGCAAGTCAATCTTTCCATTCTTGACATCTATTATAGCTCCTGCAGTAGCTAGGAATGGCCTTCCCAAGATAAGAGGGTCTTTAGGTTGGTGTTCCAGCTCAAGAACTACAAAATCAGCAGGGATGTAGCAATCTCCAACCATGATTGGAACATCCATAATAACACCAACAGGGCGGCGAACAGATCTGTCTGCAAAGACTAGAGAGATATCTTTGTAGGTTTGAAGTCAGTGATGCCCAATAGCTTGGCCACTGAGTAAGGCATTAGGTTCACACTAGAACCCAAATCACAAAGTGCTCTATGGAAGTGTGTAGAACCGATCTTGCAAGACAAAACAAAACTCCTGGGTCGTTCAGCTTCTCTGGCATGCGATTCTGAAGTATGGCACTACACTCCTTTGTAATCATCATTGCTCCTTCTTCAAGACTCACATTGCTTGTGAGTATGGCCTTCATATATTTCCTGAGAGATGGAATTATTTGGCAGGCATCAATGAAAGGTAACCTTACTGAAAGTTGGCTAACAAGATCCTTGAGCTTTGCTTGCTCCTTCTCCTTCTTGGGTTGAGAAAGAACATTTCTGTATGGGATCTTTGGCTCATACACTCTTGGTTCTTCAGGTGGCTTCTCCACTTCCTCCTGAGTTCCTGGTTCTATTCTGACATGGACTTCCTTAGGTGGTTCAGTCCATCTCCAATAATGACATACTCCATTGGTTTCTTCTTGATTGGCGGCTTGCTTCCTCTTGATCTGGGTATGCTGGTGGCTCATACCCTTTTCCATTCCTAAGAGTGATAGCTGCTACAGCTGCTCTCCTTGGATTGATTTCCACTTTTCCTGGTAGCACCCTTCTTCTCTCTTAATAGAGCTGGCTATGTTGGCAACTCTAAGATCCAAGTCTCTTGTGAAAGAAGAAATTGAATCCAACTTCTCATTCAATCTCGTGAAGGCTGACTCCAATCTCTCATCAATCAAGGCTGTATGCTCTCTATGAGAACTCTTGATGAAAGTTATCAAATCTTCAAAATTGCTCCTTGGCTCCATTCTTCTCTTGTGAGGTGGTTGCTGATAATTTCTTCCTCTCCATGAACATCCCTCTTCTCATTGGGTGATTCTTGAGTAAAAACATCATGCTCTCCCTTTCCAAGCTTCTTCTCCACGTGCCATCCATCTATTCCAACAAAGTTTACTTCTTCTTGAAAGTTGGAATCAAATCTCCAAAGTAGTCTTGAATTATTGTGGACTCAACTCTATAAGCTTCTCTTTGTCTCTCCACTTCTCTTCCTTGGTTTCTCAGTATCTCAGCCATCATGGCTTTGATCTCACTGTATCCATCTCTGTATGGATCAGAATTTATGGCCTTCACTGCTCTCTCATGCCCAATGAAGTTGTCACTGTCGCTTGAGGCTAGATTTTCAATCAAAATCTTTGCTTCAGTAACTGTCTTGGTCATGAAATTTCCATTGCTGGCTGTATCAAGAGAAAATCGACACTTCCCACTTATTCCTCTGTAGAAAATGTTCCATAGACTGCCATCAGATAGCCATGGTTAGGACACTCTCTTGTATAGTCCTTGAAAGCGCTCCAATGCTTCATGAAAAGGCTCCACCGGCCCTTGTTGGAAACTAGAGATCTTTTCTCTCAACAAGTTTGCTCTCTGCTTTGTGAAAAAGTGACCTAGGAATGCCACCTTGTACTCTTTCCATGTGGTTATGGATTGAGCTGGAAGAGACTTAACCCAGCGCAAAGCCTTCCCTGTCAAAGTGAAAGAGAATAGTTTGCACTTTAAGTACTCCTTGGGCGCACCTCCTGCACTGATGGTGCCACAGATTTCTTCAAAAGCATCAATATGTTCCAAAGGATTCTCCTGGGGTTTCCCTTGGAACTGGTTTTGTTTCACCAAACCAATGATCTCCGGTGAAATCTCATAGCTTCTTCCTTCAGGAAGTGGCGGCTGGATGGGATTCCGATCGATTAGTAGTGTTGGATTGGAATCGAAGTCTCCCATGACTTCTTCATTGTGTCGCGCTCCATCTCTCGGCATTCATCATTGGCGCGATCGTGCGCGGCATTCGGATCCGGCGGATCTTCGTGTTGCTCGGCCAGGCGATCTCTCTCGCGGCCAAGTTCTCTCTATCCTCTTGATCGTCTGAATCACTCATGTTAGAGTCCTTCTTTCAAGCTTAGTACCTGAAAGGATAGAGGCAAGATTCTTTAAATAGAAAACAGTAAAAAGGAAAAACAAAAGTTGAAAATTTGCAAAAACAAAAAGGAAAAACGAAATTCTAGGCTAGACTATAGTTGGGAACTCGAAGGTAGCTGTATTGCTCCCCGGCAACGGCGCCAAAAACTTGATCGCGGGATCAGGTCTTCCCTTTTCCTATCCCTGATTCTGCAAGTGCACAGATCAGAAGTAGTAAACGGGTATCGAACACAAGGAGCAGATAAGTACACTTCGAGTATTGCAAGTCTAATATAGCTAGAAAACAAGTATGATTTAGGGTTTTCGATTGTGTAACAAAGTAAATCAAACAGCAGATTAAACGGTTTATGAAAATCAATAAGGGAAACGCTAGGCAATGAGAAACTCGCAGAGATTCAAGGTTAACAAGATATTAGAAGGGTTCGCTAGGGTTTGCGCTATCTAGAACTCAGGTCACGATTGTATGATCTTTCCACTGTCGAGGCTCCGACCCCTTTGTTAATCTACCTAGTCGCTAAACTTTTGGTATGTCCCTAGGTGATTAAATCAAGCAATAGTTCGTTCAAGACCCAATTGTTCACAACCCCGCATAGATCAACTTTCGCAGTCTATGAAGTTTTGCTCACCAAATACTTAGTTCAGGTTATATAGCAAGCTTTTGGAGAGTATATGAAACCTAAGATCTGATGCTAGTTGATCAGAAAAGCAAGCAGCAATGAATTCAAGCAGAGGCGAAGATGCGATATATAAACCCTATGTGCTTCTAACAACCTATCAAACCATGAACTCTTTGATAGATCTCACAACCTAACTAGTGAATTACTCAGACATAATCAAAGCAAAAACACAAAGAGATGAAGAAAACATGATTGCAATAAAACTCAAAGTATGAAATCGTGATACAAGGCGGCTCTCTTTTCACAAGAGGCTAAAAAGCTATATATATAGTGCTAGGTCTTTAGAGGCGGCTTAGGGTTAAGCCGGGCCTTGAAAATATGAAATCGGGCTTCAAAACGGGCTTCGGGTCGACCGCGGCGTTGGGACGGTCGGACGATCGGGACGTATCCGGTCGGACGGTCGCCATCGGCGGCCGTGGTCGCGAGATAGGTCGCGCGGCCGCGAGGCGTTTGTTTCCCGGCTCGGACGGCATGGTCGTGCGCGGCATTGGCGTGGCGGTTGTGGCGTGGCCGACCGCGGGCTTAGTTTCCCGGGTCGTGATGCGTTCGGCCGAACGGTTTTGGACTTTGGCCGAGACTTCAGACGGACGGACAGATTTGGCCGAGCGTGGAACATGTTCGTTCCTCGGCCAGCCGGACTGCGCGGTTGGGCGCTGATTCTCGATAGAGCCGTCTGGACAGTCTTCACTCTTTTGGTTGTAACTCCTTTTCTACTCATCCAAATTAGGCCATTCCAGTTGCGTTGGAAAGTTAACTCAATCAGAGCACGCAGGGAACTGGTCTTGATGAAATCCATTGAGTAGATCTTTTTCTGGGCCCTCTTAAAGTTGGTGCTTGTGCATGGAGCGGCTTGAAGTGCAAATCCTATGGTTTTGCTCCAAAATGCATCATTTCACCTGTTTAGACTCTAGACACTATAAACACAGTAAAACTACCTTTTTAGATAGAAAACCTGCCAAAAACCATTAGAAAACAATGCTAAAACAGTATAAAAAGTGGGTAAATAGAGGTATATCACGCCCTCGTTGCGCACTTGGATCGTCACCCCCTGACGGTGTGAGTCAAGGCCACTTCAACTTGACTCCACACTCTCGTCTGGGTTTGTCTCTGATATCAAATTATAAGGCCCGGACCGCCTCTCCCGGTAAGTCACCCACGCCCTCTCTCTGGACCCGCAGGCCTATCTCGGCCCATGGGCCTCACCCCTGTCCGACGGCCGGTCCATTATTTTTGAGAGGCTCTAATGACTCTGCAAAAAAGTGTTTACTAACCCTGCAATCTACACCTGACCTTTCCCCGTGTTTTGGCCTCACTCACACGGTTTCGGAAATCACTTCCCGGAAGGTCACCCATCCTTCAACTACTCCAGCCCAAACACGCTTAACTCTGGAGTTACTTATAGACCTTTGCCCGAAAAGGTAAATGCACTTTGTTGACATAGGTAGCCAAATCAATTCTCTTAAGCCTCTCATCATTTATGACAAACCGGGATGTTACATGTAGTCTAGGACATCTTTTTCTATAAACAATCATTTGGACTTCTGGCCAAATTTTCTCTTTTATATACATTCTTGTAAACATCTATCTTGTATATATAATCTCATGCTCATTTTGAATTATGAAAGAGACTAACATATTTTTCAAATAGCATTTGAAGTATGGTACTTCAGGACCAAATATATGTGAGCATTGTTTATGTAAATCATGCCATAACATTTCTGGGAATTTGGGATATCTTAAGACAACTTTGTCTTTCCAAAATCTTTTATCCCATCTCCTTTTGTGATACTAATTTCGACAATTCTTCTGGAATTTCGATCATGTTAGACTAAGATCTCTTTTGATCTATAAATATACATGGGTATTTGTTAGCTTTATATATTCACTTTCGTGATTATATCCATGAATCAAATTTCTTTTCATTTGATTAATAGCTAATATTTTCCGGGAAATAAACAATGATATCATTAATTCTTTAATGATTATATCCTTCAGGGACTTTTACATAAATATCATTGTTTAGTGAGTTGTATAAGTCAAGTTCTTCTTTCATTGCCAGACTTAATGAACTTGAAAGTTGCATCCACCACATGAGAGTATATATCTTCATACTCATTCTTCTTCGGCACAAATGCCAAATTTATAACTCACTTGTTTCACACTTTTTAGGTGAAAGGACTTCTGGTCCAAATACATTTCTCTTTCTAAGAGATTTTGGTTTTGTGTCTATTGCTTCTTTTTGATTTGGCCAAATCATTACTTTGTGTACACAATGCAATAGACTTTGTTTCATGATCCTCTTTCTCATTCATAATATCAACTGCTACATTGCATGCAAATATATTATTTACGACGTCGATTTGCTTTTGGTTCCATTTATTCTATACATGACATAAGTAATTTCTCGAGATCTCATCATTGTCTCAGGTACCTGAATTTCTTATTTGTCATGTTTAATGTCTCTTCTGGAGATCACTCAAAAATATTTGTTTCCTCGGTTTGACCATTGTCAATTTATGCTCTTTTACTTTTTCCGAGGATTCTAATATTTGGAACCGACAAGTCTATCACGCTTCATGCGTTCTTTAGACTCACTAGCAGCTTGATATTGTCCTTCTGGGACATCAATTCTTATTAGAGCATTTACAGCTGGTAAGTGACTCAATCACTATATTTGGGTCAGTAAATGTATCTGACAACTTGTAACATCCATAAACCAAATAATTGATAATTGATTTTGGTTCAATTTGAGTGAAATTGGGCCCGGTTTAGCCCGGTTAAGGGTTGAAAACCCTTATTTTCGTTTTAAAGGAGAAGCAGCCGTCTGTTCATCACGTTTTTCGAGGCAGAGAAGGAGAAAGGCGATTTTGAGAGTTCATGGAAAAATCCGGGTTACTGTTCATCGGTACTGTTCATCCGCGATTCGGCACTGTTCATCGTCTTTCGTTTTTCCTTCAGTTTCAATCAATTGTCAAGGTGAGTGCATGACTGTGGGTCTGCGATTTGCTTGATTAGATTTGGTTTATGATTGTTCTTGATTAGTTTTTGTGTTTAATTGTTATTTCATGATATTTTGGTTGTTTATGCGATGAATTGTGTGTTTGTGTGGTTTAATTGAATGAATTAATTGATTTAATTGGTTTATCTTATTTAAAATGATTTGATTCTGGTTATTTGGTGTAATTGAATTAAAATGTTTTAATTCAAATTGTTTGTTTTATTTTCGGATTTAATTAATTAATGGTTAATTATAAGAATTATTTAATAATTGAGAAATAGAGTTTTGATTATTAATAATTATTTAATAATTGGAAAATGGTATTTAATAATTATTGGAGTTTATAAATATTATTAAATATCTAGTAAATTGCGTAAATGGCTCGTAGGCAGAGTGATTGCCTCACTAAGTATTTATTAAATACTTACGCAACTCCATTCCAATGTGTTGCAGGTAAAAGATTTGTGTGATCGCGGAATCAAGGCTGAAGAGGGGGATGATAGGATGTTTACTGTTTTATTGTTTTGCATTATTTTGCTAGACTTGTTTAATTATTATTTGCTTCCGCTGAGCTGATTTATTTGTTATTGATATTTTATTTATTTAATTTATTTTAAAGACCTTCTTAGAATTGTTTAGTATTTAATGAAAAAAAAAATGTTGGTTGTTTAACAACTGATACAATAAGTTTTGTGAATGAACTATCTTTTGGACTTCAATTTCTCATTCTATAGTCCGAGGATCAATGATAATTCATTCAAACTATTTTCTTTCCAGCCTTTTGTGTTCTCCCCCTGATGTTGGAAAGACTTATCCATTAACATGGTAGTCTATGAATGAGCCTTACTTAAATCCTTCAGGGATAGCTCTAGATATTATCAATGGAGATTCATATCCAACATCTACAATCTCTTTTGAAGATCCATCTTATATTGCTGTGGTGGAGCAATGTGGATGTTGCACATCCAAAGGTTTCTGACCCAAAACTAATTTTGATGGGGAGAACTTTTAGTTACTTGTTGGCTTTATGCGAGTTAATGCTTGTGCATTATGTCCAATGATGAACATTTTCTATTGAATGTTCAACATTTATTCTTACAAACATGTTTTTCTTTCACCATAGACTTAAGATGTGATTTCACTAGCATTACTAAGTCATCTTGCAAACTTCAGGTTGCAAATTTATTTCATTGATACATACAACTATTTTGTTGATGCATTACAAAACACAATGAAATTTCTTACAGAGGATGACTAGTCCACAAAATGGGTTATTAAACCACACGTTTCTTGTATATTCTCTAGAAAATGAATTGAATCAAAATCTATTTTGGCTAGTGATAATTGTTGTATTATCATAATCTCTTATGATAAAATATCACATTAGAAATCATTAAGAAGAATCTTCTAGTTCTTCAATAAATGTTTACATGTTGTATTTTACTTCGCATAATTCTTAAACTGGAATGGTCTAACCAGTTCATGCCGAATTATGTTAGATTCAGCAAACTTCTGGTTTACTATATGACATCTATTTAACTTTTCCTCATTTATTGTATATTGAAATTCCTTGGAATTACTTTATATATGATTCATCAAGATTACTCATTTTTGAGTATAATCTTCTGGATTATGAGTTTGGGATTCTTACACTTTTCTTGATCAATGATCAAGTTTATTTTTGAGTGTGAACATAATCTTCTAGATGTTCCATTTATTATTGATTGTGGGATTCATCCATTCTCCCCCTCGAGATGATGATACTTCAGGTTCATCTATCTCGAATTGAATTCCAATATAAAATCAATAACCTCTTTAACCATTTACTTGTATATCACATTCACTTCAGGGAATTGATCATAACCAATTGGATATGATTTTCATCAATAATTCAATATTTTCTCAAAATAATGTAAAATTGTCTAAGATTATTTTGTCTACAGGACAATATGACAATATTATTTAGAGTATGCTTTTTAGCATCTCTATTGATCTACATTATCTTCTATATAGTTAAAAGTTATTTACAGACTTCAGATCTTGTAATCTTTCATGAAAATTTAAGATATCATATAGAGAATAATAAAATAAAAATAAAAATAAGTATATATAAATAAATAGAGCATAATCAAAATAAATATTAATAATATATACCATTTATTATCACTTCTGGTGACAAATTTAGTTTAAAATAAAATTAGAAAGATAAGATATAATTTGAATGAATTCTCAAATTATATTATCACTTCAGGTGATAATGTTTTTTGTGTCTGCAAGACAACAAAATTTTCTTGATGTATTTTAACATCTTCATAATATTTATTATCTCCACTTATAGACTTCAGGTCATGTGGTTTTTGATGCAAATACTAAATATATAAAATATAAAATAAATAAATATTATCAAGCTAAATAAATGTATAAGTAAAACATGATAACAACAATTAATATTAGTAACATGTACTATTTTATTATCACTTCAGGTGACAAATTTAATTTTAAAAGAAAATAATATTAAAAATCATTACGAATTTATTTGCTATTGTGTCTATTGGACAACAATATTTTATAAATACTACTAAGATATATTTATACTATTGTGTCTACAGGACAACAATTTTTAATTTCTTTTAACATATTTGTATTAGTAGTACTGGATAGCAATATAATTCTCCTTAAACATATATATTATATACTATTGTGTCTCTTGGTGATATCACTTCTGGTGATTATTTATTTTCTTTAGAATAATATCATATCATTAGTACTATTACCTTTCCACTTATGAACTTCAAGTC